GAAAATTATCCTTTATCATACAGTCCAATTTTGACTTAAATTCTAATTCTAATTTAAGTCAAACTTAATTTAATTTGGATTCTAAATTGAGCAACTTATCAAGTAAGTTTAAAATGATAAATCTAGATGTGTTCTCATTGTGTGTTCACACTGTGAGTTCACACTGCCTTGCATTCACACTATGTGAACACCTTCACATAAGTGATCCAAAATTCAAATTCAAATTTAATTAACTATATTATTTAATTTATAATTAATTCTCAATTAAATATTCTCGAGGGTTTAATTTTAAAATTTTGTAATTCTAAAATTTCTATTTTACCCTTTGTATCTTGTAGAATTACTAGGACGACGTGGGGACTAATGGACCCATAATCCCGAGCTCTAATAAAATTAATAATTAATTAAACATTTTAATTAATTAATTAATTCTATTAATTTCAATAGTTACTCCACTATAAACTTAGAATTGCACTCTCAAAATTATAGACATAAATTACTTATAAACTGGGAAGTGTCCATTTGATATAGTCACTGCATATAGATCAATCCTCCACAAATAATTCATAATTACAGCTAGGTAGAATCCGTTAACCTCTATAATTATATCTTCATCCTTGAGTACCATTGATTCTCTAATGGATAGTGATTCATAAAACACATTCATGAACCAGAGGGCTCTTATTAATCCAAGTATGAATCAACACTCAAGAGAATTATTTATCTGCTTCTTTCTTAAGAAGGAATGGATTCCATCTCGTATAATAACATTCTCAACTACCTACTTCATCATGTCTCCAAAATATAAGGAATAGGATTCAGGGTCTCAGAATCCATACCGAGTAAATCAAATGACACAAATCCATAAATAGGAGTTTGTTAAGAACTCAGGATTAAGATTATTCTATATATGACCATCGGTAGACTCAATTAGAATTTCTATACTTAACGAAAATTATTAGAAATTCATACTGTGTCTGTGTCCCTGTTCCACATAATCTCATTATGCGTAATACACTCATTTAATATCTCGTCATATTAATAGTGCGGATAACACCATTTCATTCTAAATGAGAATGACATGTATTATTAATGTTCTAATTAAAGATTCCGAACTTTAATTAAATTTATTACGAACATCGCTTTTTGATTATTATCCGTAAACATTATCCACTCGCATACAACACTTATATAAAATGTTTAAGGTCACATAAATAATCACGGAATTTTCATTTGATATTCATAAAATATTCACAAATATATACACATAAAATGATGAATAAACTCTTTTATTAAATAAATAATAAATATCATATTACATATCATGTTTCTAGGACACCATTCCTAACAATATGTAGTATAGATATAGATATAGATTAGATTTATGTAAATGAAAAAGTTTCAAACAATTGTCTAGGGTTTTCGTCTCTCTCCCCCACGTGAACCAAAGAAAAAAGTGTGAACGATGGTTGGAGTTTTGGGGCCACCTTTGGACGCGCCACTGGGCTCCCGACCATGAAACTTGGTCCTCTAGCTTGCCTAGTTGTGAGCTTCTCATTGGTGATGGCGGTGTATGGTTTGGTGGCTCCGTTTGGGTGGATCTAAACCGGTTTAGAGCTTGGAAGCCGAATGAATGTGTTTCATTTTTAGGAGAA